TCTCTCGGCATCACTTTTTTGTTTCTCTCTTTTTTTGGATTTCGAAGAAAGCACTTACACGTGACAGCGCGGAAATCGCGATGGACTTGCTGGCGACGAGCGAAGCCCCCCCCCCCCCCCCGCGCGCACATCGAACGGATCAATCGACACCTGTTCAAATATGTGGCAACGGGGGCACCCCGAGATCTGCTCCAACCATAGTCTCCCAGAGTAGTGCCCAAATATTTCCCCAACTCTGGATCGTGAGTCTTCGGGCGGGCGCTAACCCCGTGGTCGGCGAACCTCCTCGCCTCCTCCTCCATCGCGACCGTCCAATGAAAGACGTCGACGCGCTTGCCGAGGTTGAGAATAAGGCCCGCGGCGAAAACGCTATCGACCATCGCCCGTAGGAGCACGGGGAGAGATACATGCAAGTCCTGAGAGAAGAACGCCATGTCATCTGCGAGTGCGGTGAGCTCTGGCAGCGGGGAGTGCAACTGGTTCGCGAGCTTCCGCAGCGCTGGGTCCAATCAGAGGGCAGACGTACCACCTGACATCGGGCAGCCTTGGCGTGCTCCACGACGGATCGGAATCCCCTGGAATTTGCGCCCCCCCCCCCCAGGATTGCCCCCGCCGAGATGTCCAATGTACAACGCAGGAATCGCAATCAACATGGTTTCGGGGAAACCAATGGTCCGCAAAACAAACAAGATCCAGGCGTGGAGCAGGGTCGGAAACGCAGCTTTCATATCGAGGACAACGCACCCAACTTCCTCGTGCGCTGTAAGACTCCATATCGGAGCACGTTGCACTCGGGCTTGAACACGTCGTCGGCCATCGGCCGAGTCCGCGCGAAACCATTCTGGATGGGCGAGGCGCCCAACTCACGCTGGTCGGCCAACGGGCGATTGATGGCATACCCCAATATCATAGCGTCGCTGTTGCCCAGGGTGATGGGGCGCAGCTCGCCGGGGTCCTCCAGAAGCTGGCGGCGTCTTCCTCGCCGGGGCCCTTGGGGGTGATGACCATCGTGCCTTTGTTGAACTCAGGACCTAGTGGGGCTTCAGTTTGCGAATGCTGGAGGAGGTCGCAGAGGGCGCCAATCACGAAGGGGCCCTCATTTTTCAAAGCGGAATAGCAAAGCCCATCATGACCAGGGGCGCAGTAATGGAAATCTGGGACCAACGCCTCGAACCTCTCCCAAAACATATTCCAGGTCATTGCGGGGTCGACACGGGCGATGTGCGGGTCGAGCTCGTCTGCGGCCTCGGGGGGCGCGGGGCTTCTGCGTGGGCGCGGGCCCAATGGTGGCGGAGGGCGTCAGCGCCTGCTTCTAGAAGAGGAATGTGAGACCAGTCTGGAGCACGCGTGCCTGCGATGGTCATCCGACGATTGCGAGGGGCCCGCGTCTGCACCTGGCGTCGAAGCTTCTGCAATCTAGCATCGCGAAGCATTCGTCCATCAATGCCCCCCCCTTCGTCCTCGAGCCCACCCCGTGGCCGCTTCCCCCGTGTAGTCGTGGGGGCCCTGCCTGTCAATCCACTGGGCAGCGCGCGGATCGATGAAGTCGGCAAGCTTCGGAATGATCTTGAATGCGGGTCTGGCGGTAGCAGCTCTGCCAGCGTGCATGGCCCCGTTCGCTGCGAACTGCCGGGGCAGGTACTGCGATGCAGATTCGAAAAAGAAATGCCGCGATTGTTGCTTGACTCTCGATGCTGCTAGATGCGCGCGCTCTTTGATCTCCTGGCTTCTCGCGGGCAGTTCTTCCGAGAAATCGATGTCGGCTTAGATGTGGCGAAGCGCAGCGGGGCAAAGCTTGTGCTTGATCGCCGAAGATGGCACGGGGGCCCCCCATTGGGGACAGCAGCGCGAAGGGGGAGGTAGACGGGGCAGCGGTCGCTCGGGGCCCTCAGGTCGCAAACGCGCCACAACGTTCCAGAGAGGGGGTGGCGGTCGAATCTGTCAATCCTCGAAAGAGCTTCGACTGTTGAATGACCGTTGACAATGCACGTGACGCGACGAGTGGGAAAGGGCTGGAAAGCCTCAATCATTTCGGGGGAGAGAGTCTCGAGGAATGCGGGAGATGCCGTCTGACGCAGGCTGGCATATCTCCCCTGTGACGCAATCAGCAACATTGAAATCGCCTAGCGCAAGCGTCTCCACCTGGGCCGGCGGCAAAATCGCCTGGTCGAGTGCTCTTAAAGTGTTTGGCTGCTCTACTCTCTATAATGCGGGATCGAGGTGGGCGTTGGCGACCGCGGTCTCATAATCGCCCAAAGAGGCTCGAATGCTGTGAATCCTCTAAGGAATCACAACCGAGTGCGGGAGGTTCCGCATTTTATGAAGGATGGTGGGGTGGGTGACTATGACGACCCTGGCGCGGATGCGCGCCCCCTCGTTGAACGACCCAAAGGTGCCATGATGAGGGGGGTCCCCATCGGGGCGCCGCGCGACCCCCTTCGTGCCCGTGGGTCTCTTGGGGGGCAGCAGCAGACCGCGCGGGTGACATTCGACTTCGTTTGGCGGCTTGACTTTCACGATGCCCGTGGACCGATCCAAACAGACCTTGCGCATGCCAAATCGTGAGTCGGATGCCGGAGCCACCATGCAGCCCAGAAGGGGGGGCGGGCCCAGCGGGGGATCCAATGGCCCGCGAGGGGGGGGGTCCTACCAATCGGCCTAGGACAAGAGCGCGGGCGGATGGCGCGATTGCGCTGACAGGGATGGAAAACTTGCTGCGCTGCCCATCGACAGAAAGCGAGCCTGGCGAAGGGGCCTCAGGCCCGATCCCCACATCAACAAACTCGTACACAAAATTGACAAGACTCGCAGGCGTCCCAGGAATATCTCACATGTACCCTGTGGCCGTCACGTCGGTGGCGACTTTGATGAGGGCGTTGGCGGCCTCGGTATCGATGGCCCTCTCTCTCTGAGGTTGTCAAGGTTGGGCTGGATGCTGAACTGATTCTCGCTTTCCTCGGCCGTGTGGAAAAGCACCCAGTGGTCGTCCTCCTGGCTGTCTATGATGGAGAACTCGCCGCGAGCACCGTTGACGCCGAGCTTGTGGCTGTTGGAAGCCCATTTTCCAAGACCCTGTAGCTCTGACAAGATGTGGGGCCAGAACGCTGGCGGAGACTGTGGACCAGCGGCATGTCGGGCCTGGCGCGGAGGTTGACCTGCATCTTCTGGCGCGGGTCGTACAATGCGGGCATGTTGTCGTGCGCCCACTCACGGAACTGCTTGCGCGCGTCCTCGGTGCTGACGTGGGCGCTATAGCTCATCTATACTTTGTTAAGCTTCGCGGTGATGTCTTGGTGGAGAGCGGGGTGCGTGTTCGCCGCCGCCGATTCAGGTTGGTGGAATGAGGCCGACGATGGCGTTTCAACACAGCTCGCGGGAAATCCCCAATCCACGCACGAGTATGGTCAAGTTCATTGTCTCGGATCGTGATGGCGGGGGCAAGCGGGCCCTCGATCCTGCGTCGCGTCGAGCGCGAGCCGCTGGAAGCCGTTGTGCCGGCAGAAAACGGGGGGCGACATATCGTGTTGATCTGCCTCTGGATGTCCGCAACCTTCGTGTCGATGATGCTGGGAACGCGGGGCGGTGAGTGACGTCAGCGTCCTCCCTCGGGGTGGAGGCTTCTTGCTGCGCGGAGGTCTGCAGCTCGGCGAAGCGGGACTCCCAGGCCGTTGACATCGATTGGACTGTAGACACCATCTCAGAATAGGGGTGCGTTTGATTCGCTTGCAACTGGCTTAGGTGCATCTCGAGCGCACCAGCACGGGAGTTGTACCTCTCGGTGGCGTTGCGCGTCGTTCCCATCTCCTGGCGCATCTTGACGAACTGGGTCTGGATGGCTTGCGTGAGCGCAGCCAGAGCATACGCGGAAAACGTCTTGGGACCGACAGGAGAAATCCGTATGGCTGCTGAGCGCGAGGGCGCGGGCGGCAACATGTCGCCCTGTGCGACAACATCGGAGGCCTTGGGCCACCCCTTGGCAATGTCCAAGCTCGGAACGCCAGGGACGCACGTTTCGAACTTGAGCCAAAATGGTTTGAGCCAAAATGGTTACGGCAGAGGAGGAGGAGGAGGAGGAGGAGGAGGAGGAGGAGGAGGAGGAGGAGGAGGAGCAGCAGGAAGGAACAACAGGAACAGGAACAGAACATGAACAGGAACAGGTACTGGAACAGAAACAGGAGGAGGAGGAGGAGGAGGAGGAGGAGGAGGAGGAGGAGGAGAGGAGGAGGAGGAGGAGGAGGAGGAGGAGGAGGAGGAGGAGGAGGAGGCGGAGAGAGGAGGACAGGTCGCTTAAGCCCTTCGGAAAAACCCTCCACGTCTCCCTCCAAACGGCCTTTGACCGCCCCCAGACGGCCCACGGACCACCCGAGAGAGCCCTACCCAGGACAACTGAAGAGAGCCCCCATGTGGCCCGAGATGATTCCAAACATTATGTTGCTCCCATCGTGCTTAAGGACCACATTCCAGAAATATGTTCGAGCACCCGGGAAGTGTCGAAACAGTGTCTGGACAGTGTCGAACGAGTGTCTCCCAGGGCCTGGCACGTGACAACACTCGAGTTTCGTACCTTCTTGGTGCTCGAAATTCATTCTGGTGGTTCAGGCTAAAGTAGGTTGGAACATCTTAATCCAAAAAGCAAGACGCCCCCCGCAAACAGCCCCAAGGAGGCCAAAATAGGCCCCAGACAGCCCGAGATGGTCCCCAGACAGCCCAGGAGGCTCCCACGACGGCCTCGCAGAGGCCAAGCTATGACCTCAAAGAGGCATCCAGCCAACTAACGACCACCGAGTCAGTAAACGAAGCAAGCGACAGCTCGCGCTATAGCGACCCAGCGCTGTGGCACCGATGCCCGTCACAAGAAATCTAAACGCAACCACTGCGCGAAGGGATGGGAACCAACAAACTGCGCTAACCAAGAACAGTATTTCCCGCACAAGCCATCATAGGGCGCATGCCGACGGCGCAACGACTTCGGCACGTGCGCGATGGCCGCCCGTATCCCCGACGCAACAAGCGCAACAACCGCGATTCCATGACGTGCTGTGCAAGCGGTTGTGCAATCTGTGAACAACGCAGCACATTCAAAACAACATAACAGTCCATTAGATTCGACATTTTTGTACATAGTACATTCGCAATATGTGGCTTGACACTTCTTTTTGTTTCTCACGCAAGCCAAGCGCATAAGCCGACAACTTTGTAAACATATTGCCCTGTCCGTGGCCAGCGATGGCGGTTGTACTTTCGGCATGAACAAACATGGTATACAACCATGTGTACTTTGGGGTCTACGCTCATACATGGATTTTGCTCAAGCTCTGCCGCGACATCGGACTACACTCGATGACGCCGCCAGGAGGTCCCACAGCAGGATGGGAGGCTCAAGTGCCTCACCATCTCTATACCTTTCGCTTAGAACTGCGCTTGGCCTCAGCGCTCCCCCTCCCGGAGGGCGACGCCGCGACAGCGCCGCCCTGGACGAGCTGATCTGGGGATAGCGGCCGCACCGACATGGTCTCGAACCCGCCCTTGAGCACGACCTGCCCCGGCGCTGCCGCCGGCAGCTTGCCCACCTTGGCGCACGTCGTCACGTGGACGGTCGCCCGAGGCTGAGTCTTCGCCTTCGAATAGAATGCGCACAGACTGGCGGCAGCCTCCGCAACGTCGCGCGGCGGCGGCGCCCGCTCACTGGCGCCACTCACGAGCCGCACCACGGCGTGCGAGCCGGGCACGCCCGCGACGTGCATCCAGGTCTCGTGCGGCCTGCCCTCCTCGAGCGACAGCCGATCGTTCTCCTCCGCGCCCTTCCCCAGCAACACCTGCCACAGGGCTCGACCTAAAAATTGTGGTTCATTTTGTTTTCGTTTTGTTGTTCGTTTTGCTCTACCTGTTTTCCTGTACCTCCCTCCCAAGACGAAAAACAAAACACAGCCGAAGTCCAGCAAAACAGCGTTTAGGTCCAGCCCTCACCTGCCATATGGAGCCGTCGGCGCTGGCCACGGGTACTGCCTTGCAGCCCTGCGGGCAGGAGAGCCCAGAATCGATAAGTCGGATCGGCGATCGAAACGAATCGGATCGGCGGAAATCGGCAGCCGAGTCGGGAAACGTCGAAACGGCGGAAATCGGCAGGATAGTATGCCTCCAGTAAGAAATCGGAGCCCAAATCGGAATCCCAAATCGAATCGAATCCCAGATCGAATCGATCGAAATCGAATCGAGTCCAGTCGGAGGACTCGAAACGAGCCCTGCCTGCGGGGCCCTCGGCGGCTTTGCTGCCTGCGCAGGCGCGGGCAATCCGAACCCGCGAGGGGGCAGGGCGCCGACTCCCGCAGGCCTCGTGGCGCCCCTCGCGGCGGCCCCCGCCGGCGGCCCGGCGGCCCGTGCGGCGCTCCCGCTGGCAGCGGCCTCGGGGCCGAGGGGTCGGCGAGGGCCCGCTCTCGCGGTGACCCAGCGGTGGCCCCGCTGGTGGAGAGCGCACCCGGAGCTCGGTGGCCCTCGGCCCCTCCCCGCCGACCACAGGCAGCGCATGCCCGCGGCGGCGGCTGGGGCCGCAGCCGCCCACAGCAGGGCGGCGCCACGCGCCCCCCTGGCCCGCCAGGGAGCCGCAGCGTGGCGGACGGCGGCATGCTGCATGGGCGGGGCACCCGCGGGCGCGGCAGAAGGGGCGGGGGGGCAAGAGGCGCGGTGGGCCTCCCCTCTCCGCGCTACCTCCTCTGCCTTCCCCCCCGTCCCCCCGCACCCCTCCCCTCTACCCCGTCCTTCCGACATCGTGGAGAATCACCGCAGGAGCACTCGTCCCCAACTTCACGTGGGATCTTTCAAGCCTGATCGATCCGTGACGGCTGCGGGGCCCGATGAGTTCAAAATCATGTCCGTCGTTACTGAGGCCTCGAGAGAGCGCGCGTTCCAAGCTCGAGGGGCGGCCTGGAGGGGGAGGGGGCGGGAACAGGAAGCTTGCGATTCGCGATCCAATGTGAGTTCCACGACATCATGACTGAGAACGATCTCACAATTTAAGCATGCTGGATCTGTGTCAATCGCCGCTGGGTCCAATCATCCACTCGAGGTGTTCTGGCCTGTAATACTCTCCTGGGCAAAATCGATCTCCCGACCTGCATTGGGGCGCGTTCTGGCTAGTATTTCGAGGCGAATCTGGTCGTGGAAGCGAATAAATTATTTCCAATTCCCTCCAGGAATCTCCTTCTCGTCCTCCTGCCTCCTCCCTCATCCCTCCTCCTCCTCCTGCTCCCTCCCTTCCCCGCCCTGTCAGCGCATCCTTTCGAGGTTCCCAAGCCCCGCCGAGGCCGAATGGGGGGTCGGATCCCCCCCCACTTGGCGCCGACAGAAGCTGGACTGGGGGTACTGAGGCTGTTCCGTGTGCGCCGCTGTAGGAAGAGGAGGAGGGTCCAGACCAACGTTGTCATGAAGACATCGAACCACTATTTTGTCGTGTTTAGTGCGGTCTCTGGAGATACGACTTGGACCCCAGGCCCATCCAAAACCGATTCGGGCCGAAGAGCCTACGGCACGAACAAATCGTGACGTCGGGGGTTTCGTTGGGAGGAAGAGTACAGTCGGACCTAGGCCACAAGAGTAGCCCTGAAGAACATGAGACCCTCCGTCGGCCAAACCAACCTCCCAGGATGCACAAGAACATCCAACAAACACGAAGAACATTAGGGCACCCTCCCCGAACTGACCTCGATGTTATACCTGGGTCCGACTGTAAGAACAAGAAGGCGGACATCTGGGAATGCCCTCGTCCTCGCGGCTGGATGTGCCTTGATTCCCTCTTGGCGAGTTGAAGAGTTTGGTCCATCTAGGCGATGGACTTCGAAAAGATGGACACATGCACAAAGGGTGTAGGGCTAAGGTATGATATGGAGAGGCGAAGGGTTGAAGTCTTGGAAATGGGGGAGATGAGCAGGGGCGCGCTGCTCGTCAGCTGCTACAGAGAGAGCATTGTGTGTTGCATGCCTCCAGCTCATTGCGCTCGCGATCAACGACCGCTGCCAAGAAACTGCACTTCAATCGTGCGCAAACGGAACGCGCCAACGAGGCCAGAAACACCTACCGTCACCTCCTGGGCTTCAACTTCATCCACATACCGTTCTTCGTGTGGATGGTGGCGCCCGTGCTGGTCCCCACTTGAGCAGGTTCAGCGGTTGGAGCTGTAAATTCGAACGTAAAATCTCGCAACACCATTCCCAAAGTTACAGTTCCCTCCAACATTGCAAAATTGTCGCCGACACACTTGCGAGGACCACAGCCGAAAGGTATGAACGCATAATCAGAAGCAATCTCGTTCGGGTAGAGCTGCCCCCCCCACTTGGTTGGATCGTAGCCCTTCCACCCAGGAATGTCGGGATTCTTGTACGGATTGAGCCATCGCTTTGGGTCGTAGGTGTTTGCGTTCGGCCAATACTTCTCATCCCTCTGCATGTTGTAGATGGAGAGGAAGAAGTCCATGCCGCGCAATATCTTGGTCTCCTGTTGGTGGGTCTGGAAAGAAGGATGACACATTATACGAGAGAGCACCCCACCCAGTCGGTTGCACGTCTAATGCAAGGACAATGTGCAAGTGGCGGGCAAGGAGCTAAGGAATACGAGTACTGCGATCTCGCGTGCCCCGGCTCACACGAGAAGCAACGAGGGGTCACCGATTGGGTTGTCACACCCTGCGTCTCGACGGCAGATTGACAAGCACCCCCGTGAGCATGAAGAAACACATGCTAGAGTAACAGTGGATTCCTACACTGGAAGCATGACACACACACACACCTCTTCTTTTCTGGCAACTATGTGCATCCCCACTGTATTCCACATTGTGTGTTGAACGTACTGGTGTATCATGCTGAAGAGCTGTTCATGGAACCGTTGAACATCCAAGTGATTTTCTATGGACATGTGCAAAGCCATTGGGGCCCATGTGTTGAATGTGCTTTGTGCAATTCGTGAAACTTTACGGTGCCGTCGGACCCTGACATCGTGATCTGCGTGAAAAGGTGCGTCTGCCTTTTGTAGTTTTGAACATGTCCCGAGCGAGCCAGCCACACAAATCGCGAGCGACACAATCGTCGCCTCTGATCTCTACTCCCTCGGATAGCTCCGTCTGGCAGTCCATGTTCCAGACCCTCTGCTCTCTGCTTGCCGCACTCTGCTCCACACTTCCTACTCCTTGCGCGCAGTAGAATACCAATTGCTGCCTGGTGGAATTTCAATAATACTCGAAGCCCCCCTCCCCCCGTCTCGATACAGTCAGCTGCGTGAGCCACCCCCCTCTTATGCTCATAGAAGCATGATACATCAGAGCTCCAGAAGCCACGAACCTTCATACTAGCAGTGGGTCTGCGCTCCTCAGGCCACGATCCCCAACGAAAAGCAATAGACCCGCGCCCACGGCCAAGACCCCCATTACGTCAATAATGCCTGCGCGCTCTCGAGCTTCCAAGATGGCTTCCAAGACGGCCGAAGCAGACAACCAAGGCTACCGAGATGGCCTAGAATGACCCCGAAAAGGCCCATGACAGCCCCAAGAGGGCCCCAAGACAGCCCAGCACAGGACCCCCCCAGCAGGGCTCGAAGAAACAACGATCACATGTTTGCCTTTGGCTTTCGGAGGATCTGGGCATCTTCGCCTTTTCGGGCTTCCTGCAGCTCCAGGGGGCCCGAGAAGCGTCCAAGATGGCCCAACACGTCCCCCAAATGGTTCACATTTTTTCAATACGGCTTCAAGACGGCCCGTGGACGGGCCAGGACGGCACCAAGAGAGCCCCCACACTGCCCAAGAGGGCCTCTGGAGGGACCCAAGGCAGCTCTCTGAAACCTCGACGGCTTCAAAACGGCCCTAAGAGAACTCCCAGGCGAACAAGCGGGCCCGAGTACGGCCCAATAAAGCCCCAAGACGGCACCAAAGGACGCAAAGACTGCCCCACAGGAGCCTACGACAGCCCCCAAATGGCCCCACATGAACTCCTCCTCAATGTCATCACCATCACGATGTTTCACACCGCACGCGTGCATTTCGATGCTCCTCCTCCTTCTGTTCCTCCTCCTCCTCCTCCTCCTCCTGAGCTCTTTCACTATTGTTTCCTTCATACTCCTACTCCGCCCCATGATGCCCTTAACTGATGCAATATAAACTCAAGAAGGCCGATGTATGACATGTGACGTGGTTCCGACCGTTACTCTAAGATCCGCTCGATTCAAATGTTGCAGCCTCTTGTCGCCCCCTCCTAGAGCACTGGGCTGGCAAGGTGAACGAGTTTGCCGCAAGCAACTGAATATGCTCTCTTCGTTATTTGTACAGATCCTACAATCAAAGTGACGGGCCCGAACGGTCATTCATTGTCCCTGGGCGCGTCGGACTGAAGTGGGACTCCATGGCCTGGATTGTTGGTGCGTTGTTGTTGTCGTCGTCCTCGCCGGCGACCCCCCCGCGACCCACCCCGCGACCCACCCCGCGACTCACCCACGACCCACCCGCGACCCACCCGCGACCCAGCCCGCGCCCGCCCTTCACTCTTATTCGCAAATGCTGGTGCTACGTACGCCTACTTTTCTGCTTTCTCTACTCTCTCTGCTCTCTGTGCTCTCTGTACTCTCTACACTGGAAGCCCACAAACGTCACCGCTCACCGAAATCGGTTACACACTTTCGCCAAACAACGCTGGGGATCCGGGACCCAAAGAGCGGAACCTGGGAATCCAGCCGCCTACCGAAATCTGCCCGACACACTCGCCAAATCCTGCTATTACCCGAAAGAGCCCTCCAATCCATGTAATCCCCCAGAACCTCTGGCAAATATCCTGCTTCCCCGCCCAGGCTGCAATCCGACGGTGGACTACATTGTTGGCGTAGGTTCGCTCGACCTCGGAATCCAACCATCCACCAAAATCAGGAGCCCGGAACCCAGCCGCCTGTCGAAATCAGAAGAATACTTTCGCCCACCCTTTCAATCACACGCGGAGAAACCCCAATCAATATTTCCTCCCTCCGAAATTCTGGCATGTATTATGCCTGCCGGCCCTGGCTGCAAGCCGAGCGCGGCTACCTTGTTCGCGTAGGTTCGCCCTCGACCTGGGAAGCCAACCACCCACCAAAATCAGGAGCCCGAGAACCCAGCCGCCTTTTGAAATCGGAGGGATACTTTCGCCCACCCTTTCAATCACAGAAGAGGAAACCCCAATCAATATTTCCTCCCTTCAAATTTCTGGCATGTATCATGCCTGCCCGCAATGGCTGCAGGCGGACCGCAGCCTGCCTTGTCGGCGTAAATTCGCCTTCGAACCACTGCGGAGCAAACTTGCGTAGTGCCGCAATACGGAACGCCTCATTCAAATTAAGGGCAATTCAATCGACATTCTGTGCTGATGTGGCAGTATCTTTTCGCCTTCTCTGTCGCTTCCGCTACCACACTCCGAAAAAAAAAGGCTGGACGAAAGTGATCAGGTATCTCACGGAACGCTCTTGGGACGAATCGGAATCTTCATGAGACTGCCTGGGCATGGTGCCATCTTCTCGCAACGGCGCGCTCCCCATCCCCCTACCCGCCGAATGTTACATCGAAGCCCTCGGTGCGGCAGCGGCACAATTTGAACATTTTACGCGAACATGGTGACATCCATGGTGTTTTTGGCCATGGCGCCGCGATTTGCGTGAGAGGAACCGGTGTCCAGAATGATGAAGTGTCCTGAACGAAAGGCCAGACACATCGCAGACGGAACGCCTTCACAAACAAATAATCACCCCTGAGATTTCAGTAAATCGGGAATCCAACCGTCTGGCATTTTCGCCACGCCCTTACAATCTCAAGAACCCCGGAGACCAAGAACCCGACCACCTACCCAAACCTCAGGAGCCCGGGAAGCCGGCAGCCTACCTCTTCGCAAAGACACCTCCAGTACAAGCTCTGATCAAGAAATTCTGGAAGCTCTAACAAGGATGTTTTTGGTTGGACCCCTGCAGTGCAGACATCGACTTGGAACAACTTGATTATCTGCACTCAGCCCGCATACAAAGGACGCACGATAAGGATGCAATGGCCTTGGAAGGCCATGTTGACGTTTTGCGAGCGGGACGCGGCCAGCGAAAACGGCTAAGGATGGGCCGAAAGGGAAGGGATGCAAGGGCAGCCTTGGAAAACTGCTCCTTACTATTCGGACTGTAGCTGCTCTCTGTTCTCTCTAGTCTCTCTCTCTCTCTCACTCTCTCTCCCTCTCTGCGCCCTCTGCTCCTCCCTTTTTTATATGATGTTTGCGATCCAAGGGAGGGTGGGGAAATCTGACCCCCCCAAAGCCCGACCCTCTGGATCCTCTCGGTCCCCAAAGGCCCCCTGAACGCCCCTGGCAGATGGCTCCCTGGGACTTCCGAGCCTCCTGGATGACCCCACCTGGCCCTGCCAGCGGGCCCAAATTTGGAGTCCCGAAACGGTGCGGTGACGGACCATGCGGTGACCTCGAAATCCCCAAGGACCTCACCGCACGGTCCGTCAACGCACGGTTTTGGAACCTCGGATGCCCCAGTCGCCCGAGACGTCCTCGGAGACCGACCCGAATCCCAAAACCGTGCGGTGACCCCGAATCCCTACCGACTCACCACACGGTGTGGTCACCACCTCGTTTGGGGGCCCCCGACCGAAACGGTCCCCAGGGTGGCCAACTGGCCCGGCGAGAGCCCCAGGCGGCCCCAGACACCCAACAGACGCCCGGAGACGGCTCAAAGTGCACCTGATGCTCCCGATGCAACCACACACTGGTTTCCCCGTGGGTTCTGTATGACTTTCGGATGCTCGGTTCTTCCGTCTCCCAGGCTCCGAGAAAGCCCAAGAGGCTCCAAAAATCGTCCCGCAACTCGTTCCCCAACGACCCCTATCGCGCCTGCAGACAATCCAAGAGAGCCCCAACACGGCCCAACATGGCCCCAAGATGTCCTCGAAGAGAGCCCAATGACGGCCCAAGATGGCCCCCAAACGCCCCCCCAAGCAATCCAAATCGTGACCCGGTCTTTGAGGGAGACCGTGGTTCGCAGCAAGGTGCCCCGAGGAAGCCCCCAGAGGCTCCCCGGAGGCGCCCAGGAGGCCTCCTGAGGATCCCAAAAGATCCTCAAATGGTTTCGTGAGGCCCGAGAGACCTTTCCAATGAGGAACCCTCGCAACACAAAGCTGAGGACGGGAGGGTTTGGCAGGATCAGGCGAGAACGAGGAAGTGGAGCTATGAGTGAAGCAGCAAGAACCACATAATCCGCCGACCCCCTCTTGTCAGAGGTGAAAAGGCATGTGAGACCTTTGGCTGCCTCCCCTCCCCACTTCCCCCTCCCCCCCAAGGTCCCAAATTGTGTTTGACAAGGGGGGCCAGGCTCCCCAACGCACCCCCAGGGCCACTGGAGCCTGCAAATCCACCCTCCGTGGCCGCCCAAATCCCAAGATGCTTTCTAAGATGACTCCAGGCGAGTTCCACTACTCCGGGACACCTCAAGAACACCCAAGATAG